AGCTATCAGCATGGGCTGTTACTGATCCGCACAATATTCATAAAGACGTCCAGCGTGAGCAATGTGTGTGTGCATGTGTGTGTCATCATGTGATGCACAAATAAACCAGGCCCACAGGGGGAAGACAGAGAGGCCGGCCACAGCACTTCATCTGTCACCAACACAAAAACCTCACCACTCGCCGAGGCACAGAAGACAGAGAGCCACTATCGCAACCTCTGGTTTTGTGTGTGTGTGTGTGTGTGTGTGTGTGTGTGTGTGTGTGTGTGCTCAGCAATGCTTGTGGGTGAGACCTTATCATAGCTGGCCACATTCCTAGCATGAAGATAAAGGAGGCCAAATGAACCAGATCAGCACAGTGTGTGTCTGTCTGTGTATGTGTGTGTGTGTGATATACTGTGTATATGACTGTATGTATGTGTGTGAAAGAGAGGTTTTGTCAGTGATGAATAGGAGTTTATAGACCCACACCTCATGGAAAAAAGCGGAGAAAATCTTCTGGACAACAACAACAATGCTGCTCTGCAGTTTGGAATTAATACTAGAGGAGCCTTCCAGGCAAACATCAACAACATCTACACACACTGTACAGTCATGTAGCAGCAGAACATGTCATGAAAAACACCTCCTTATATTGTCCTTGTCCATTTATGCTTCACCTGGCTTCTCCTTTAAATAGTGACGCTAAAAATGTTTTGCAACCAAATCCTTTTTCAGCTAATTGTGTTTTGAGACTGTTCATAGTGTATTGAACACTGGGTGTTGTGTACCGACAGCACAACCGTATCAGACATATTGTATCACCATCTAGGTTGCCAGTAAACCACAGCAAGATTTGTATTACTATTATTTTTGATGTAGTTGTTAGTTAAGGGGTTTAATGTCGGACCCTTTTTTTTAACCCTAAAAGTAATTTGGAAATATGTCACTATGTAGAATTCATTCACTTCTACTTAAAGTACCAGCATAACTGAAGGAATGTACCTGATAGTGGAAACACAGAAGAATGTGTGTTTGATGCGGGTCGTTCACATAGACTCCCCAAAAGTGAAGCCAAAATGTCTCGATAGCCACTGGTGGTTGGCTGCAGTGTAAGTCATAAACCCCACCTCCTCCAAGTTAGCATATGGGACATAGAACAAACTAATCTCTCAGTAGATTGTTTCTGTCATTTGATTTGTTCTTATCACACTGATGTATGTCCAAGTGTTCAGGTTTGGTTTTAATCAGTTATTTGATTCTATAAAAACAGGGTGAAACATCATGATTGACATGTGTGTATTAGTGGGACCAAATTACATCATCAGAGCAAGATGGTATGGTTCGAATTCAGGATATTTTGGCTTCATTTCTGGATAGTAAGAGGACGTGGAGATGTGTTGTCCATCTTTTGTTTACGATGTGTGGTCGCTCATGTCTTCGCACTAAATCAGTTCAGTGTTGGCCCCCATTAGATCCCTACTGAAGTCTACAGAATATTTTCTGTGTTTTCTGCCTTGAAAAATTCCACAAAGTCTCTGTCTCCCTCTCTCTTCCTCGGATAACGTACAGTAGATGAGTTCCTTCCTTCTGTCGAGCTGAGAACAGGAATTTGCTGGATGAGGGAGCACATCTCTGCCTCATAAGGAACGTTGTTGCATTTCATTAGGGATAAGATTCATCACACCAAGCAAACAAGAGAGCCGTGCAAATCACATCGGAGGAATTCTTACACTATCCTCAGCATTGTCTCTCACACACACGTAAACACATGTACACACACACACACACAGCTGATTGGCAAAAGGCACAAAGCAAACAAAAGCTGAAAGAGCTGATTCAGGCGGCACGGGGGACATCAAGGACGCTGATACTATGTGATTGCTCATTACTGCGCACTTCAAAATGACACATTACTCTGTCATCGGGAAAAATGGCTGCTTAAAGGTGAACAGATATTTTTGTATTTTTCTCACTGAACAATGGAACCACTCTTTCTTCAGGGGCCTGTGTCCCAGAGAAGCTGCAGCATGAGAGCGCTCTACTGGTCAGAGGTCCAGAGCTCTGTCTGAGTGAAAGGACACCCAGGGGTCCGTTTTGGAGATGGCTGTTAAGTCCCAGCGCTGACCCGGGAAACATGGCTCAGATAAGGCCTGTATACAGACCAATTTAACAGGTCGCAACCCTGTCTCCGAGTGGGAGCGACACAGCAGGAGTGTGTGAACACAGCCTAGGGGATCTGTCCCATGATGAGATGCTGGTGATATCTAACTGTAGCTCTGACCCTACAGCAGTGGCTGTCAGCCTATTGATTCACAGCTCAAACAGCTAGGGAGACAGGGACAGAGTCAGGTTGTGCAGCCTCGGCTGGGACAGTGTGTGATATGTGTGCTTGCGTGTGTATGTGAGCCTGCAGTAGACATCTGGTCGAGCATTATGCGCCCAAGGCTGGCAGACCTGAACAACAGTGAGTGGAGAGAAAGAGACAGAATGCTGGGGCCTTCATCGATACTGAATCCAACAGCTGCATACAAGTCAGGACACAACAGATCTATTCATGACAGATGTACACAAATGTAGACACACACACAGACACAAACTTGGCATGTACTGGACAGTGGCCCTGTTGTGGCTCAGGAGATAAGAGGGATGCCATGCAAGCTCTGTGAGTTACAGTGTGGGAGAGCCAGTAGGAGATGTTACCACACACTGCAAGACAATTCCCTGTTTCTCCAAGTGCATAAAACACAATGATCTTGTCTGTCAGCTACAGGCAGCACACTGGCTCCTGTTGAGACAACTGACTGAGCGTGGGATTGGTTCTGGAGGTGTATACAAGTAATATTAGAAAATAAATGGGCTTCAATGAAAGCTTTGATATTGATATAAACAAGTCACATAAAACAGAAGAGACAGAGGGAGACAGTGTGTGCGAGAACAGCAGCCCGAAAATATTTGCGTTTTAAAGGAGCTCTGGTTTACAGTGTTCGGTCCCTAAAAGAGAAGCATCTATTCTCAGTCTTTATGTGTGAGCACAGTGGGTGGTGCAGGACATAAATTGACAGCTCATCTAACACTAAGGCTCCAGATGGAGAAATAATAACATTAGGAAAGATTACTTCTGTCTGTCCATCAATCCATCTATCTATTCCTGAATTTATATACATACTTGTGTACCTTGGTTAAACTTTGTCTCTCTATCATTCAGCATTATAGGAGACATATTATGCTCATATCCAGGAATTTAAATTTGAAATACAATAGTTTTTATTTGTTGACTTTGATTTCTAGAAAGGATCTAAAATGTATTTCTTATTGAAGTAAAATGTTATCAATCCCATGCTATTCCGGTGCAATATGTTGTTTAGCAGGTTGATGATTTATCACCATCTTGTTAGAGATAGTTTCAAGGAGACATATTGTGTTCATAATCACCTTCATCATTTTAATTTAGGTTATTAGTTGATATATATGTTTCCATGCTTCAATGCTCAGAGAACACATCCCTCTCCTCACACCGTCCATTGCTGTAGCACCTCTTTTCAGCCTCTGTCTGAAATGCTTGGTTTTAGCTCCGGTCTCTTTAAGACCCCCCCCCCCCCTGGGTGATATCACATGACAGTATCTGCATGATTACTGACGAGGTGTTTCTGGAGTTGAAAGAGCTGCATGGTCTGTGGGTAGAAGAGCTCTGATGGAATTTGGGGTTTCTAACTTTGCAGATCTTTTATATACCCAGAAACCTCCCACACAGGAAGACAAACTGAATGGCTAATAATGGCTCCTTTAACTAAACTTTAAAAAGATAGAAACTCTACTGGATGCCTTTAAATTGCTGAACGGAAGCATCACGCTTGTTAAGCAGATCGAGTCCTGTGCTTTGGCAAATGTGTGCTCCCCTCTCTGGCCCAGAGTGGTCTCTCTGTGAGAGGTCAATAACAGGGACGTCTGCCAGGTGAGAGGTTGGCTCAGGTTTAATCGATGCTCGCCAGTGGAGGACACACACATGCAGGCAGGCAGGTAGACAGGCCGGCACAGTAGCTACCACGCAGAGATAAAACTATTCCCGGTAGTGTTCACCAGCCAACTGCTGAGCCTGCGCCACAGTAGAGAAACTCACGCTTCAAAACGGTTTAGGGGATTTATTTGACAGCTAATTTAGAGAGGAGATTTGCTAATAAGGCAGGCTTTTCTTTTCCATCCTTTGTCTTTCCCTGCTATCTCTTTTAGCTCCCTTCTTCCTTTTTTAGACATGAGCAAATAGTAACAGATAATGTAAGCGAATTAAATAGACAAGAGATTCAAATTGGATATTGATTATAAGACTAAAGCCTTGTGTTTTCTCACGGTAAAGCCTGTGTTTAAGTGACTGATTGACAATGTCACTCTCCACTTCTTACTGATTGTGGTGACCGGTGTTTGGGTTCTGTTGTGCCTCTAAACCTTGAACGGGCCCACATCATGTCACACCATGCTAAGTGCTTTGACGCAGCCACACAAAGAGCCCAGTCTATCTGAGGCTAATCTCCCCCAGGTCCACCCAGGTGGGGGCTTTCAGAGAGAGCAAGGACAAAGTATTTTCCTCAACATCTCGGCACAATGCGGCCTGACAGACAGCAGAAAGGACAAAGTCTGTCCAATGGATCTTTAAGTGGAGGGGACGTTTTCTTGGACAGGCCCATGCAGAGAAAACAGGATGCATTCTGACTGATCGTTGTGAAACCAAAAGAGACGTAAAACTTAAGCATTGTATTTTCCAGAACTGAGCAGCTCTGTGGGTTCCCCTGGTACAAACCACAGCAACAACACAGGGTACAAATGACATGCCAATATCTATCACTGCCTTTCACAGCCTAGTGAATGCGTGCTTGTCCCTCACTTCACTGACACAGTGGCAGTACTAGCACAAAAATGATTTATAACACAAAGGGACGAGCTCGCACGAGGACAGAGTCACGTCATGCTGACACACCATCTGTCCCTGTATTCACACTCCAACCATTTGAAAGTCTGTAACTCACTGTTCACGCTCTTGAAGATGTTGAGAATGGGGAGGATCTGTCGGTAGTACGGAACCAGGGCCTCTCCCACCATGTCTGCAGACATCACCAGATGCTGCAGGACTTTGAGCGTGGTGCAGATCACCTGGCGGTTCCTCGTGTTCAGGGCGTCTGGAGGTGAAACAACACTGTCAGTGAGGTTTTAAACTTGTAGTTATAGGATGTAAACTGGATTTACAGTCTGTTTGCTCAGGCTGAAGCTTGGAGGTACAGTAAATGAAGAGCAATTCTAGAGTCTGCAACCATATCGTACATGCAATGTGTTTAGAAGACACACAGCTAAAATACACATAAATCTTAACACACGGACACACACTCCCTTTCCCTTGAAACCATTTCCTTTATATAGCTGGGCTTTGATTTAGACTGGCTTGTCTGCAATCAGTGATTTCAAATGCACTGGGGAGGCAGGGGTAAGTGAGAGCCAATCACTGGGCTATTTGGCCTACAGCTGCACTTAACTCCATCTCCCACTGATAGAGAGAACAAAAAGGAATGATGGTGGGAGAGACGGAGGGCTACAGAGATCAAGAGAGACAAATACAGAAAGAGAGAGAGAGAGGAAAGGTAGGAAAAATAACAAAAGACAAAATGTCAGAAAGCGATAAAGTGACATGACAGACAGAGGGCAAAGGCTCAGAAAATAGCCGTGATTAGCAACTAAGAGTGACATATTTTTTCTAGTTCTTTACGCATATTGTAGTTTTTCGGGGGTGTGAGTGCTGGTAATTCCCTTTGTGCAGGTTGTCAGTCTGAAACAGCACACTCCTTTTAAGAAAAACAGAGAAAAGCTATTTCGCTTTAGGAAACCTTAAACTGTCATTTGATGCCTACTCGCACAAAAAGAAAATTGTAATGGCGTCACAGCATCCATTTTGCAAGTAAGCGCATACAACAAAAAATGAAAAGCACAAAAAGAAAACAGCATTTCAAAACACAGTCAAAGCAAAGGAGGCAGCTAGAGTGTGTGAGTGGGCAGAGACACCACGAGCTTGGGAAGTAAAAACTGAAAAAAACAAATTGCCTGAAATCAAAAAGATGGGTAGATCAAATGTTTTATCTGACAAACGACACTAGAAAACGACAAAAAAACAAATACATATTACAGACACTGTTGCACTAGGTTTTATGTTGGTATTTGAGAAATATAAATGTATGTAGATGTTGCAAACATAAATTCAATGCTCTCTCTCCCTCTTTCAATTGTTGTTTTGTCTCATTCTGTCCCGACACCTGACTTTGCAAGAGGGATGGAGCTGTCACAGGACAAATGGCAGCCGACCGACACATCAAACAAGACTACAATAATAACAAACTCATGAAATGTGTTGATGATGACAAAGCTTAGGGGCAATCAAATTGTTTAACAAGCAACGCTGAAGTGAGGCTGCTCAAAAAATGAATTCACAGAAAAGTCGACAGACATCAGTGCAATCGCTGCAGATATAGTGTGTGTTATGCTAATGAAAGCGCTCAGATATATTCTGTTCTTTACAAATCCATCAATAAAATCAATTAATACATTGATTACTTATCAGTCTTACTCGTGATGACGTCTCTACCATTCCCATCGCGACCACTAGTATCAAACTGACTGAGAAGACAGAGAAGAAAAGGGAGCGCTAACCACTAAAATATCGTGTGACAGTTTGAGCGTTCAGTGAACAGCATAATGCACCCCCCCCTCCGCCTGTGTTAAAACGGCTCATATGCAAATAGGAAACACGCGTCACAAACGCGCACATACACACACACACACAATCACAGACGGGTACACAAATTACAGCACATATACAAACACATTAGAGGCAGTCAGACTAAATGTCAGCTTCAGCCATAAGTGCAGGCAGTGGTGAACATGGCAGCAGAAGTGGTAGTAGTGAAATATGAAGTTATACGCAGAAGACTCTTGAGATGTGGTTATGCTTAGTCATCGTGTACGTCAACTGTGACATCCACATAACGACTAACCCTTTCATTCTTGTGCATGAGGCTCTGTGAACAGGAAGCTGACAGGTGAAAGGAATAAAACAGTTACATTTAAGGTGGTATGTATGGTAGGATTTTATTTGGTGTATCAATGAGAGAAAATGGCAAACTGAAGCAGCTCCATTGTTTTGTGTCCATTTGAGCATACTAGAGCTTCGCCTATAGACGTGTCTTTGTCCGTGTCAGTGACGGTGTAAGGGTATGTGGGTGAGGCCTATAGAGAGGGCCAGATGATGCTGAATGAGCGAATGCATTGTGCTTCGTGCCATCTCTCCATCTCTCCCCCAGTGTCTCCGCAGTCAGACAAGTGCGGCGATATCTGCCATCACCGAGATAAGGTGGAATGTGGAATGACAGGAATTTCAAACCTACATAACAAACAATGAAATTCTAATTACCAGCCAGCGCAAACAATTTTCCCTGTGGTGACATTTGGACTGCGAGACTGTTCAATTATTCATTGGCACTCTCTCCTGGCTGAAGAAAAAAGAAAAGAGAGAAATTAAAAGAGAGGGGGAGAAGGTAGCTGAGGACCTGATGTATTAATGCTGGTATAAAAAACTGTGTTGAGACAAATCTGAATAAAGCAATCCTTTATTCATCCTAAGACCTGCTTCATATTCAGTGTGAAAATAAAATAATGGTGACCTTGTATTGTATTTCCTGTGAAATGTCAGAGGCAGGGAGACACATCTGGAGATTTTAGCAGTGAATTGTTCTCGCTCAGAGTATAAATATACTTTTCAGATCAGAAGAAGATGTTCCCTTCCAGAGGCGTGACTGAGGATCTCCTTGTAATGAATTTCTCATTTTGGCTCAAAGCTGAGCAAATGTTATGCCAATCAACCGAGGCTCAGAGGAGACATGGCACGGAATCCTCCTCCCTATTTAAAGACAACAGAAAAACCCAGACCACAGCATTTCAGTAACAGTTTACCCTTCCTTTTTAAGTCACCATGATCCTGAATCTTTCTGTTTCCGCTCTGTAACAAAATGCCAATATTTCATTCAGCTATACTCATTCTGCACACTCAGCTTTTATTACTATTAGTAGTTTTACTATTATTGTTATTATTGTTGCAGTGATCATTTTCAACACGGGGGAAAAAAACCGTTTAGAATTTATTAGAACACATAAGTTGTATATAAAGATGGACACCATGACAGCTCCCAATGTGAAGCCAAATCATCTCAATTGCCCCCTTGTGGCTGGCTGCAATATTGTCATAAACCCACCTTCCTCCATGTTAGTAATTGGGACAAGATCAAACTAAAAAGTCAAAGTCCACATTAAATAAATATTTTTTATCACACCAATGTATGATCATGTTTTACCAGTAAATGTGTTTTTTTTAATAGTTATTTGATTCTATATAATTGGGAAGAAATGTGATGATTGACAGCTGAGACTGACTCGCGATTGGCCGAGCACATGTATTGGTGGGACCTTGATACTGCAGCTCCATCCTTCGATCACTGCTGCACAAACTCTGGCTCCAAATAACGTCAAAAGCACAAGATGGCGGCACAAGATGACATTTTGGCTTAATTTCTGAAAAATGGGACAAAGTGAAGCCAAGTTGTCCATCTTGATTTAACGTTTATGTCAGAACTACTACAATGTACTATTCTTCTTCCTTTATTTCAACACATACAAACATCGGGATAGAATTTAACAATTTAATTTAATTTACAATAACAGAACATAAACATTAAATCCAGATCTTTTCAAGCATCTTTTATCCTCACATGTTGTTTTCACCTAGAGTCTCTCTGATGTGATGGGATCCTAATATACAGTACGGGAAACAGTTCAGCGTTTAAGTCAGTGAGGACACAGTGTTCAAGTATAATGTCAGACAGAGCCTTCTTCATTGTGTATTCTCATTGGGTGACCTGCAGTCATCATCAAAATTCACCAGGGCCTGACATGACTCAGTCGCTCTGCAGATAAGAGCCTGCCAGCCACATTGAAGATGTATTAACGTCAGAGGAGAAAAATATATATCTTGCCATTTTAAACTGCAGACGGCGTTTTACTTTCTTCCACTTTTCTATCATCCCTTCTTCTTCCGTGCTCCATAGAAAAGTAATTAATCTGCAACAGAGACACGGACTGGCGGCTTTGCCTCTTGGACGGTGAAACAGGCCTGATTTTTAATAAACCAAAAAGTTAATAAGGAGCAGGCCATTTAAAATTCCATTATCAGTGAGAAGTGTGTGTTTTCATGGGGAGCATAACCATCACCTTTGGTCTGGCCTCCCGAAGGCAAATGACCAAAACTGCTGAGAGGTTTGAGTTTGTAAATTAAAGCCTAAAGTTAGCGAGTGGCCCAGACACTCTCTGTGTAATGTCTAGTCGTGTGTGAAGTGGGTGCCTCTTGATAAAGGCTAAAATACATGTGAGGCCATCCAAATATTTAAAGGACCAGTGAGTAGGATTTAATAACATCTAGCTGTGACGTCAGAGACTGCAACCAACTGAATTCCCCTCAATAAACTGCAACACAACACATTGCACTGGTAAAGTATGGGATTGACATGGGAATATTAATGTTGTCAATACATTTTTCTTTTACTGAATCATTTCTTAAAAATCTAGATAAGAAAGTCAACAACTAAACAAAAACCAGTAAAAACTAGATGTGTTATAAACTGTGTGGTGAAGACCTTGCTGTGTGACTCAGTGCCATACATGGGGCGGTGACAGACTGTGCCAGGGTCAGTCCGTCACTGTGTCTCTGTGTCTCCAACAGCCCTGCCTAGTGTTGGCCGTCACGCCTCTCTGCCTCCACATACGTCCAACACACACACACACACACACAAACACGAAACACACACACGACTAGCCAACTGTCCATGACTTAAACACTGTCTCAGGCTCACTGGGCGCCACTTAAAGGCTCCCACTTTGAAACTGACACTCGACTTGGCAGCTGCACCACACAAAAGGCAGCGTGTGTGTGTGTGTGTGTGTGTGTGTGACTGTGTGTCACCACATGTGTGTAGAAATCTTCCAACAAAATCTTCCAACTTCCCTGTACCTTGATCCCCCTGGTGTCCACCACACAAGAAACCTTTCCCATCCGCATTACCGTAAATTCTTATGTCTATTTTTGAAGTCGTCCAACACTTCCCACTGCGATGTGACCTTTCCGCCCACCTCCATCTGCCAAGTTGTGTGAGTGTGTGTGTGTGTAAAAGTATCAGTGCGGAAAAGGTAAGGAGGCACAACTCGATGACATAGTTAAATGTGGCACGTCAACGCATTCATGGCAGATTATCAGGCATGCTTTTAGAGCTGCCCTCTTCCGGCAAACACGAAAGCAAGGACGCTTCGCCCTGAGGGTTAATGTAATAATAGGAACAGTATGACTGAGAAACCAAATTAGGACTTGTCACAGGACAGCTCGTATGGTAATGTTAGAATCTGTTGTAGCACCAGCGTGTAAGACAGGTGAGTCTATTCCTGGCGAAGCATGTCATTCTATTTCAGTTACACTCCCCTGCAACGTTGCCTGAGAGTGCTTTGAAAGTGCCATTTTGTGTAATTATTCAAAAATGTATTATTACATTTTCAATATCGATGAAGATGCTATTAATGTTATTTAAATAATTAATGATTTATTGTTATTTTTTGTGTATTTATTTTTCAAGTATTTTAAAGCTTTTTTGATTTAAAGGTACAGTGTGTAGAATTTTGTGATATCAAGTGTTGAAATTGCATGTTGCAGCTGAACACCCCTCACCTCACCCTCTCTTTCTTACACACTGGACCTTTAAAGAAAAAAAATTTCAGTATTTGTGATACTTCATGTTAAGATCTGGTTTTTCACCAGCTTTACTACATTTGTGCCCCCAACCTGTGTGTGCTATTCTAATTTATTTAAATATGCAGCTAGTTACACCATCAGCAACTGGGAATGTCGTCTGGTCTTGGGATTTGTCAGCAAACACAAATCAAAATGTAATGATGCTGTCATCAAAATAGTGAATAATGTAATAATGACATGCAAAGATATTTATGGGGGCGGCAATTAAAGTGTAACTGAGCAGATTAATTGACTGTCAATCACTCATGAAATAACAATGTTTACTTACGGAGGGGTTTGCAGAATAAATTCAAATTAATAAGAGAGTAGAGCCATCCTGCTGCCAAAGTGAATTAAATAGTTGCTGTATCTTAACTGCTTAAAATTGTACTAATGATTCTGGAGGATTATACAACATATTTCAATACTGAAAAAAAAAAACTATCACATTACTGCATATTTCAAAAGCACAATTTGCATCTTCGCTCCTATTTTCCCTTAAAGTGTTGAGATAACATCACGATTTCTCTTCAGTGGCAGTGAATGTAAAATGGCATCAACGCACAAACACACACACACACACACACACACACACACACACACACAGGGCCACTTGGGAAAGGAGCCGTGATGTGTGTGATTGCTAAACCATGAGTGCAGACACCTTCCCAGACTTACTCTTGATGGGGATGATGAGCTGGGGAATGACAGGCTGGATCTTGGGGCCTCCGTGCTCCAGCATGTCATGGACTCCCTGGCGGGCGAAGAACTCGTATGGATGAGCCGTCTCGCATAAGCCGTCAAAGAACAGAGGCAAGTAGTGAAGATAGTCCAGCTTCTCGATCTCCACCTGAAGACAGACATTTACATTTACATTAAAAAGGTATTTTTAGCTGCTTGTTTAATCCAGAGAGATGGACAAAGAGAGGGGGAAGAGATTCTGTCTTGTGCTTTTTGTCAGTACATATAAAGCTGCTGATGGAGACATTTTCTAGCAGCAGGGGAAGGCTTTTAAGCTGCTTTCAGAAATGCACTGAAGTCTGGAAGATCTCTTGACATTTTGTGGACAGTTTCTCTGGATATTCTCCTGACCTTTTCCTGCCAGCACCCATGAAATATGTCCCTAAATATCTCCAAAATGTTGGTAAGATTCACAGGAATCAAGTGAGCATGTTGTCTCAGGATGAGACATACATGTATATGTGTTTATGAAGATGTGAACTTGAAAAGACAATGAGATTCTACAGCTCCACCCAGGTGCCGCTCACAATCTCCTGCTGTGTTCTTCATATGTGAAAGGCAAAGTCCAGAAATGTCTGTAAACACCTTTACACACAGTGAGTGATATAGCAGACATACATTCCATGTGATTTCCAAGAAATCCCTTACTGCCATAATGCCTCCTTTAAATCTTTGCTTTTTGTCTTTGCTTGACCTTGGCTCTGCACAAAATCCAGGGCTAAAGCTCGTCTTGCACTCATTCATAACCTTTACAGTGAAAACATTCAGTCACACCCACCACACACACACACACACAATGGCGGGGGACAGCTGTTCAGGAGATCATGACACAGCGGCATGTGGCATCTTGTGGGCCGACATGTTAACACCTGTTTACAGCGTTTACAGGACGGTCAGAAAGGCACTCACACACACACACACACACACACCGTCGGCTGGGAGATGAAGACATTGGGCCGGCTACAGGCCACAGGCAGACTTTGATGTGTGGCTGAGCGTGTGGGTTCTGTGTGACACATTAAAGTGAAGTCTTTCATGTGTGTAAAGCCATCAGAGGAAAGCTACTCAGACACACTGGGCTGGAAAGAGCAGTTGACCCACAGGAGGCTGTCCTTGAGCCCTGTGTGTTCGTGTGTGTTATCTGAAAATCACCCAAAAATGTTCCGTGGCCGTGTTTCGTGCAATATCCGTGTACTGGATCTAGTTATTGACTGTGTATCCATAACAGGGACATCAGCTGTGGTGCTGCATTCCAGTGGCACTACAATGTTGAGTGAATGGTTCGAGGTTGAGGGGGTGATTCTGTTTTTCATGTAATGAAACGTAATCCCTTTGGTGCAGAGGCAAATAGCCCCCAGCAGCCTTCAGTCCTTGAGGACAGCTGAAGCCATGAGGAGGAGACACTCTCTTGTCCTCTCTCTCTCTCTCTCACACACACACACAGCTAGGTCACGCTGGTGTGTGCTGAAATGTCACCCAGCCAGTGACGCTTTCAAGTCCCCAGCCCTCACCCAGCCGCTGGTCAGAGCCAAGACTTCAAAGCAGCTCTCCCCCCTCCTGCTGCCAATGGCAATGCACCCACCCCCCCTCCTGGTAAACACAGAGATGGAGAAGGAGAGACCAAACGAGAGACGGAGAGATGGCGACGGAGACAGAGAGCTCACACTGTTAGCGCAAAGACACAGGGCTGATTGCTTTGAGGCAATTTACCGGCCAACCTTGAACTTTCCCTGTGCTTGGTCAAGATCATCATTGTGAGTCAGTCGGGCTGGAGATGAGAACAAAAGCAAACACGAGCCCAGAGAGAGGGGGAAGAGGGCCAGACAGGGTGAGGCACAGCTTTGCTTGATAGTCCGTGGCACACAGAGACACGTCATGTCGTAAGCAGCTTTTTTCATTTTTTCTTTGGCCACAAAACCAAATGTAACTCTGTCTCAAAACATTTATCTTTACTTTATTTATTTTATCTCTTTATTTATTGTTGTGTTTTATTCTATCCTTTTTAAATGTATTGTTGAACACCTTGTACTGTAACTTTGCATTAAAGGCAATTCAATTAAGTCTGATTTGAGCATCTCAAACTAGTTAAAAGTTAAAAAAAGCAAGTCACAAACTTGAGATTTTAGGGAGATACCTTGCTTGACTTATTGATGGCTCGTCTTTCTCATTTGGAAAAGAAAATACCAACATTTCTTTATATATATTGAATATACATATTTGTATCTTTATCACATTACATTACATTTTATTTAGCTGACGCTTTTATCCAAAGCGATTTACAATAAGTGCATCAACCATGAGGTATCTCCCTTAATTAAATATGAGAAACATATCAGACAAAATAAATACTACAATCAGGCTGAAGTGAGAATCATATCACATGTTATCAATACAATAAAGTCAAACTATGTAAAAAATAAGATGGCTATAAAAACAATTCTAATCATTAGGTTTGCTGACAATATCCCACAGTCGTGTCTCAGTACAATTTCAGATCTCACAATCTTATCTGTTGGTTTGTGACGCAGATACAAGTTCATGGAATAATTACCTGGGAATATTAATATGGTGTTGCTGCATGTGAAACCTCTGAACTTTCATGCTCTTTATCAAAATCACATAAAGCACTTAGGGACTGACTGAAGATTCCAAGGAGAAGGGGCAATCAGCAAACACCTTCACACACTTATAAAGCCCATATACACACATACACGTACCCGTTCCCAGAGAATCTTAATCAGCAGCTGCGCCGAGCGGTAACTCTTGCATCCGTTATCGATTGTCCGCCCAGGTTTGTTTGTCTTTGGGTGCCTGTGGGAAATCCCCCCGGAGTCCGGGGAGTCAATGAGAGTGGAGCACAGAAAGACTATCAGCCAAGTAGCAGCAATTAGCCTTGGGACACAGACCCGCGCGTCTCCTCTGGACACACAGCAACAGACCTGACTAGGAGCAAGTGCGAGGAGAGAGTCTCCTCATTAAAAAACAGTATCAGAGGCCCCTGACAGGCACCGGAGACCAAGAAGAGCGAAAACAGCAGGCTCCCACTTTTCACAATGGCTGAATGATTGTGTGTGTGCATATATGTGTCTTTGTGTGTTTGAAAACATGTGGGTGGTTAAATGTTTGTGTGTACAAATGCTTTTGTGTAACCTGATATATACGCTGTGTATGCTCACATGTGATAAGCTATTCGGCTGGTTTGCCAGAGTGATGGGAGTCATTAAAGCTAAAAAAGCGAATCTAAAATAACCAGAGAGCCTATAGAGCAGGATAAGATACCATGTGAAAGTCCATTTGTCCATCCATCCATTATCTGAACCATCACCTTTAAGAGTCAGAAGGGAGCTGGAGTCAATCCCAACAGACATTGGGTGAGAGTCGGAGTTCTCCCTGGTCATGTCTGCAATCCATCACAGGCCCAACATACAGAGACAAACATTCACGCTCAAATCAACACTTATTTAGAGTTTCCAATTAACCTAAGCTGCATGACTTTTTACTGAGGGAGGAAGCTGGAGAAAATCTGCACAGACGCAGGGACAACACGCAAGCACCCTGGTCAGCCACAGCAAGACAGTGACAGAGGGATTGAGACAAGACATTTGTGAGACTGCATGGTTGTCTGTATGTGTGTGTGTTTTTAAGCCTGATTCTGAGGTGGCTGTGATCAAATGTGGTTCACATCAAATGGCTCACCCCTCCTTTTATATAAAACCACCCTTAGCTTGGTCATGGGGTAAGCAAAGTGAGGTCATGTTTTTTGTTGATAAAAACCGTGTGTATATTTCCAAAAGTGTGGTTTAGGTTTAATTTATTCATTTGTCCTTCATTCGCCAGTCCCCGATCCAACAACGTGGACGAGGGAAGTGCGGGTTGAGGTCAAGATGCTTCCACAGCGTCACATCCTTCTGCAGCTTTATATTCACTGGAGCGCAGCTTCTACTGAGCACCCAATCAAATCTCTCAACTGTCAGATCAATTTCCTCTCTACAGAATACTACAACCCCAAACTCCTTTTCATTAAGAAATATGTCACATGACATAGCTTTAAGAATCAATAACTACGCTCTTACTCTCTACATCTGATCTGGGGTTCTAACCTACGTTGTCTAATGCAGCGCGTGTCTCAGATCATGTAAGAAACAGGCTGAATGCCAGCTGTTTGACAATGATGCTGTTTGACGACGCCATAATGGCTTGACCTGAATTCAGCTTTTCTGTTAACACAAGCGCAGGTTGCTGTATTTAGATGAGCTGGCAGATGAGCCGCTGTCATTTATTCCAGCTTTAAGAGGAGAACAGGCCTTCTATTGGTGCCACTCACACTATGAGTCATCCACTACTCAGTCACTCTGGCCAAACATCCGTCCATTAGTTTTGCAGAAAATCTATTATAAAAGAGCAGAACCGGAAAGCGGGACTCACGTAGGAGCATCTAAAAGATATTTACTCTCAGAAGCAAGATTTGCTAGGGATGGACAAGGAAGGCATGAACCAACAAGCACTAAAAATAAGAATGCATATCACAACAGAATACCTGAGTTTTCTGCGATAAGTTGACTTCATGCTGTAACTTCACTGTTGCATTGAGAAAACTGCATCTCTCTCTCTCTCTGTTTCTAAAACCCCATCTGTGAAAGATGTGTAAGTGTAAATTTGTGCATTGAAGCTCTGTCGTAAATAATCAAGTTAAGAAGCGTTGACACAGATTTTGTCAGTTTTTGTTGTAGGATTTCTGTACATGTGGGTCATGCAGACAGAGTCTTTTTTGTTGTTTCTGACGCTCAGATGGCTTCCTTCCATTTGAGTGCTGCAGTTTAACAATGGCACTTTGTTGAGTGTTTGTGATACATAATGATTGTTTGATGGTGATGCATTACAATTGTGCATCAGCTGGTATGCTGGTACAGTAAAACTAAATTATATCTACTGTGCGGGCAAAGGCCTTTGAATAAAGGTAAAGAAAGTGTCCAGTATCCAAGTAACAGCTCAAATCTCCATGACTACATCATAAACTCTCTAGACAACAATATTCCTATTATAAACATCTCAATAAAACGGATGCCAAACTGTTCCATAGACACGTCTCCAACTCCATCCTGTGCAGCT